ATTTATTGATTGAAAATAGAAAATAGATAGTTGAACGATGAAGCAGACCAGAATTAGAAGGCAGATGGATCTTGTAACAATAGGAACAATACGGCGACATCTGCCCAATTTAATCAAATACTGCTTTTGAAACAATAAACTATCGTATTTCTTTGACCTCTACTAATTCATAACATAAAAGATAGGAAAAGCATAGCAAATTTGCCACATGAAAGGCTGGTTTCAAAATGAAACGGATAACAAACCATCATCCATCACTTTCAATGATACAAATCAGAATCGCAACGACAAAAATGAAATCACTTGGATTCCTTCGACAAATTTGAAACATCAGGCGAATTAAAATGGAACAAGTTTTTCTCGATGTTTTCTACTTGGGAAGTCGTCGAAACTTTCCCGATTGAGGGAATAAATGAGACATTTTTTTCTCAAAAATATTTGAACAGGAGAAACTTTGAAACTTTAAAACTTTAAAACTTTGAAACTTTTATTCAGTCTTCTGAGAAGATTCTCTGCTGAACCATGGAATATTGAAGAGTTGTTTGTCGGTTCGCAAAACTTTCGTTGATCGAGAACGGCGCGTAGAGCATCTCGCCTTTTTTGTGATAGTGTATAGTCGATGTGCCACGAGTTGAAATTTCATGGAACGACACTCCGCTCGGTGGCCTTGTGGCCGTGATAAATCAATGCTTTTGCGGATCTCGGTCTTTCCCATTTCATAACTCGCCGTTTTCATATACACAAAATACACTTTTTCAACAATAATAGTACATTTTAAAGGAATAAAACAATTAAAAAACGATCAAAATTATAATTAAAACCAAAAAAACTATCGTGGCCGAGGTTGGCAAATTCGCACGATGCGCGCTATCGCACAAATCGAAACAGCGGAGTGTCGTTCCATGAAATTTCAACTTGTGGCACATCGACTATAGACGGTTTTCAAACGTTTCGACGATCGCTACTTCTCCAGGTGGGAACAGTACGGCGCCCAGCTTGTCCAGGCTGACGGGCGTCGGTTTAACACACGTTCTCTGAGAAAATCGATGACTTTTCAGTAATAAAAAGCAAAACAAAATAAAAATTTTTTTTGATTTGCTTCAAAATGTGATCACGGCTCACACACGTGCTTCTGATTATTAAGCACCAGGTTTCAGGTGGCTCCGCCCCTTTTAAAAGATACTGCAGACAGTAAGCTGAAAAAAATTAATTTTTTTCCTGTTGAGAATTTTCATTCAAAAATGCTTGGAAATGTAAGAAAACACTATTTTGAGTATTTTTTCAGTTGCAACTTTTTTTCTAACCTGACATCTTCGGGGAGAAAAAAATCGAAATTTCCTCAAAAACAGCGATTTTTTCAGTTTTTGAGCCATAACTAGAGTAAGAACCCCCCTATGGTACGACTTTTATTTCTGATTATGAAACTAGGGGTCTTCTTGTTCAAGAAAAAGTAGTTCTACAACAAATCCCTGGGGTGGGATAGTTGACCTCCATTCGACCGAAGGTGATCAACTTGAATCGGCTCAAAATTCGAAAAATCATTTTTCATCTAATTTGACAGCTTCTTCCTCTTTTTTGTTTTGAAACAAATGACAACACTCACGTTCATGTTCTCCACCATTTTGGTGCTCAAAGAAAATTTTATTCCGAAATTCTCGTGACTTTTCGAATTTTAAGACTTTCGTCGATTTTCGATTTTTTTCCGTTTTCAGGTAGTTTTTTCTGTAGGAACCCCCGAATGTGGTCATTATCTTTTGGTATATGGAAGAGTAGGTCTTTCTGGATAAGAAAAAATTAGTCCGGTAAAAATCTCTGGGGTGGCCCAGTTGACCTCCGACCGCCTGAAGGTGACGACCCCAAAAATGGAATTTTCATATAGGCTCGGAAAACAACTTTTTTTGTTTCCATTCTAACAAAAAACTTTTTCAGTGAGACCTACATCACTTTTCAACATGAATCGGAGTCTTTTCGGCAAGAAATATGTAGTTTTATTCAAATTTGAGGCTTGGCACGCTTATCTTCGTTTTCACCCTCCTTACCTGCTCTAAATTGCTGAAGTAACCTGGAAACCTGTTCAAAAAGATTTTTGGGGAACCCAGCAAATGTTTGAATTTTTTTGAACACCTAAGCAAGTGAGATCGGAGTGAAGAAATGGCGAAAAAAGCTTTTTTATCAACTTTTTCGAGAAATAAAAACACCTTATGACATTCAGAAATGTCGATGATTCTCAAAAATTATTTTTTCGTTAAAATACAGTAACTGACGGTTTTTTACTTTTTCAATCGACTCTATCCATACACTTTTTCCCTGAAATTGAGGTTTCTGAAGCGTTTAGAAGTTCTTGTAATACAATTCCGGCTTTTCTTGTGTTGCAACGTTCATACAGACACTGTTTCATGTTTTTCATTCATTTACAGAACAACTCAAATGAAAAAAGGTTTTGAAAAAATGCATTTTTTGACCTAAGAAGAGTTTTAATGCATTTTCCGGATTAAAGTTAGGTTTATCAAGTCTCTCTTTTTTCTTTCTATTAAGTTTCATCAATAGTTGTTTTTTAAAGAGTAATTGACATTTCTGAATGTCATAAGGTGTTTTTATTTCTCGAAAAAGTTGATAAAAAAGCCTTTTTCGCCATTTCTTCACTCTGATCTCACTTGCTTAGGTGTTCAAAAAAATTCAAACATTTGCTGGGTTCCCCAAAAATCTTTTTGAACAGGTTTCCAGGTTACTTCAGCAATTTAGAGCAGGTAAGAAGGGTGAAAACGAAGATAAGCGTGCCAAGCCTCAAATTTGAATAAAACTACATATTTCTTGCCGAAAAGACTCCGATTCATGTTGAAAAGTGATGTAGGTCTCACTGAAAAAGTTTTTTGTTAGAATGGAAACAAAAAATGTTGTTTTCCGAGCCTATATGAAAATTCCATTTTTGGGGTCGTCACCTTCAGGCGGTCGGAGGTCAACTGGGCCACCCCAGAGATTTTTACCGGACTAATTTTTTCTTATCCAGAAAGACCTACTCTTCCATATACCAAAAGATAATGACCACATTCGGGGGTTCCTACAGAAAAAACTACCTGAAAACGGAAAAAAATCGAAAATCTACAAAAGTCTTAAAATTCGAAAAGTCACGAGAAATTCGGAATAAAATTTTCTTTGAGCACCAAAATGGTGGAGAACATGAGCGTGAGTGTTGTCATTTGTTTCAAAACAAAAAAGAGGAAGAAGCCGTCAAATAAGGAGAAAAATGATTTTTTGATTTTTGAGCCGATCCAAGTTGATCACCTTCGGTCGAATGGAGGTCAACTATCCCACCCCAGGGATTTGTTGTAGAACTACTTTTTCTTGAACAAGAAGACCCCTAGTTTCATAATCAGAAATAAAAGTCGTACCATAGGGGGGTTCTTACTCTAGTTATGGCTCAAAAACTGAAAAAATCGCTGTTTTTGAGGAAATTTCGATTTTTTTCTCCCCGAAGATGTCAGGTTAGAAAAAAAGTTGCAACTGAAAAAATACTCAAAATAGTGTTTTCTTACATTTCCAAGCATTTTTTTGAATGAAAAATTCTCAACAGGAAAAAAATTAATTTTTTTCAGCTTACTGTCTGCAGTATCTTTTAAAAAGGGGCGGAGCCACCTGAAACCTGGTGCTTAATAATCAGAAGCACGTGTGTGAGCCGTGATCACATTTTGATGCAAATCAAAAAAACTTTTTTTTTATTATGCTTCAGATTCATCGACTTTCTCAGAGAACGCGTGTTAAACTCCTCTCCTCCTAAGGCCGTATGCAATAAAATGATTCTAAACCAATTCCCTGGAGAAAGAAAAAGGCCTGAAACTAGCTAGGACATAATTGATTTCGACTTTATTTGATTCAATAATAATAATAATTTATTCACAGATCCGTGTGAACCCCAACGAGCTCACTTCGATCTACAATTTGAATAAAGAAAAAATAATTGAGATCAGTTAAGTCTTGGTGGAACAGAGGTAAAAAAATTCTTTGCGAGGTAAAACGACCAATAATTTTTTCAAAGAATTAGGTGGAAGGGTGAACTGATATTTGGATGTAAGTTTATTTCAAATAGGAATCTTTTTGAAGAAAAAGTTGTTAGAAAACTGACCTTGAGAACGTAGCCGAAGTGGATTTCGAATAAGGCTTTTTAAGAAAATTCGGATAGAGAAGAAAGAATTTCAGTCTGAAAAAGACTAGTCATTTTGGAGATTGAGGAAAATGGCGGAAGATCATTTTCCCCTTTATTGCATACGGCCTCTGGAACTCCGCGATCACAGTTGTCAACGACCACCAAGCTTATGATTCTCAAACCATAATGTGTAAACAATGATGGAAGCAACCACAAAAGTAACATACAATTGAAGGAGCTTCAAAATTGAAATTTTCGTTCAGTTTTCAGAAAGCACCCAGAAATTTTTTTTTGTTAAAATGTTTTTTTTGTGTGTCAGAAGTGGTTCTCAAACTCGAAACCCTTCAAAAAATCCTCCAAGTGACTCATGAAGGAGGAAAATTATTTGGGGTCGTCGGCTATTTTTTTTTTTGGAGGCCTTTCGTATCCAAATTCGTTTACTTATCCAAATGCTGAGGCCGCCCATTCCGTTCCTCTCGTTCTCCGTTTTTTTTTCGTGTCGGAGCTAGAGTTCGTCAGATCCCATTCTCTTCGTTTTGGTTTTTTCTTTCTTGAGAAAATATTGATTTGCTAACTGACTTTCGATTTTTGGCATGGATTTCTTTTTTTTCGACGAAACTTTTTGAACCACATAATATAAGTTGTGTGAAAGGTTTTTTCGAAAAATTTATTTCTCAATGAGAAAAAAAGGCCTTTTCTCTTTTACTGAAAGACTTTTTTCCGCTTTTTTTTCAGAATTTTTTCTTATCTTTTCAGGTCTCTAGAGTTTACCAAGTAGATGTGTCTTTACGAATTTTTTCCACGTTTTTATAGAAAATGATTCCAAAATTGAACGCCGTTTATGAAAAGCAGCCTTTTTTCATTGATTCTTGGCCTGTGAAATCTTGAATATTTTGCCCCGGAGCAGGAAGATAATCGGTTTGTCGATGGCCTCCTCAATCGTCGATTCAATTCTCGCCTTTTTTTTTGTTTTCCAAGACAATTTTTGGCTTCAAAAAACAAGTGATTTCGAAGAAAAATGCTTCTGGCTGAACGATTTTCTGTGAAAAAAGCAGCATCTGTTTCTGAACTTGTGGGGAACTTTACAACTGGAGTTTGAAAAAAAAAAATTTCGAAATGAGTGTCAAATTTTCAATCAGCTCACATGCAAATAGTCTAGTGAATTTCTAGAATTTCTTTATTGAGCGCTGTTTTTTTCTGGGACTTTATAAACATTTTTCGCGAAGAACCCTTGAAATTTTGTGCTGGGGTATTCAAAGAAGCATGGAGAATTTCGTGAAGATAACAAAAGGTTTTTTCGAGATTATTTTTCGAATAATCTTGCGGGATTTTTGCGATTTTAAAGCAAGGATTTCGGGGGGTGTGGGGGGGGTATCAAACTTCGGCTTTCCAGAACTTTCTTAATAAAAATTCCACCAGAATTTATAAGTAATAAAGTTCCTGTTAAAAGCTTAGATACCATAAATCCCTAATTTAACAAACCCACTTTCCGATCTGTGAACCCGACAGCGACGTCTTCAGAAGAAGGTCTGTGGGGAGTCATTGTGGCGGCAAGCCGATATGTGTGGGTTCCGGCGGAATTCGAAGCGTCTCGAGTGCTTTCCAGTGCCAATTCCGTCCACATTCCATTCTATTCAATGTTTCTTTCCATTTGACACTTGTAGGGTTCCATTTTGATGAGTCTGCCTTCTTGGGCTTGACATGAAAAAAATATTTTATCGTTCGAAAGACTCAATTTTGAAACTTATAAAACAAATTTTTGTCTCATAACTGATGGATTTCCAAATTTTGAGCAATTTTTCTTGAAAAAAAGCAGAATTTTTGAAAATTCATTCAATGAGATTTTGATGAAAATACTGTAGCAACGTCTGAATAACATTTTTATTAAAAAAATCTTCTTTTAATTTTTTTTTAAAAAAGACTTCCATCAAGTTAGCGGCTATGGAAATTTGCTACAGTACCGTGCAGTAAGATATACAATTTCACCTTTTTGGACATAACTTTTGCAGGAGTTGTCCAATTTCTGTCAAATTTTCTACAGTTGTTACTTGCATATCCAGTATGTTAACACAAAAAAATCAGCAAAGTAGCTGATTTTTGTAGTAAGTTACAGCTTGAAACCTGGAATCAACAAAATCTCCAAAAACGAAAAAAATTTCAAATTTTTTTTTTGGTTGATTCACGATAGGAAACAATTATTGAACGCTTTTTTATATTTTACTGAAGCTTTGAGCTCATTGTACCATTGATTGCTTCACTGTAAAACTGTTACCCAGATCAAAAAAAGCTTTAAGTCCAGACGCCCCTGATTTTTTGTAATTTTCGGATTATCGAGTCTCTCTCAAACTCTTTGATGGAGTTTTTCATTTTAAAGTTTATAATTAGAACTGTAGTGCAATTTTTTTGACAGTACCAGAGAGTATAGGTCATTCCGCGCCAGCTTGTCACGATTTCCAGTTTATTTGGAGCTAGAGTAGCCTTTTTCGGCGCTTCGCTTCGATGCCCTCGGTGTGCCCTCCCTTGCGTGCGCCTTTAATAAAACTCATTATTTCCGAATTTTTAGAATTCTCTTATTTTACAAAAAAACAGTTGTAACATTAAATTTTATATTAAACTAACCCAAAAAAATAATACGCAAAAAAAGCTCGAACAGTCGGTTTCATTAATAACAATCAAAAATTATTGAATTAATCTTTTTTTGATTTTCTTTTTACAAATCCAGCACAGAATCTGAGTGTGTATAGTTGAAGCGAAAAAAATGAAATCAATCCATTGAAAAAAACCTCGTAAATTAATAAAAAGAGATAGCGGAAATTGAAGCAATATCTTGATCAGAAATAATGTTTTATTAAAGGCGCACGCAGGGGGGAACACCGAGAGCATCGAAGCGAAGCCCAGAAAGGGGTTCTGTAGCTCTGAGGAAAATTAAAATCGTGACAAGCTGGCGCGGAATGACCTATATTGTACAAAGCTTGCTTTCTCTTGTTTTTTAAAACCCAAAATCCGATACCCCCTTCCTTTACATCCGAAAATGCTTTCCTGACCCTGAAAAGGCCATTTTTAACTTCCATAAAAGATTTTCGACCTCGGACGATATTTCTCGCGGCAAATGAGGTTCCTTCTAAGAGCTCGAAATCAATCAAAGAAGAGACCGTGGGAAACGACGCTCACTTTTTTTTCCGACTTTTCTCTTCCCGAACGAAAAATTTATGCAAATTCTCGTTTTTGACTTCCATTCTCGATTTTTCTGGAAATTCTTTCAATTGCGACAACAAAAGGACACGTCTGAGAATCCTCCTGGGTCGCTAAAAATAAGCGAGAAGAGTGGCTCTGCAAAAAAGATTATTTTGGTCGGAAAATAGAGTTGGCCCTCTATTTTCTTTTCACTCAATTTTCTGTTTTTTGAAAGAAAACAAGTTCAAGTTTTAAAATTCTAGAAAAAAGCTTATTTTGACGAAAATTTTCGTTCTTTATTACTAAAACACTGCTTCTGATTTTTTTTTTTCTTTTGAGCTTCTTGATGAGCCGTATTTTGAAATTGAACCGTTTCTGCGTAGTTGTGGACCCTATTGAAGTACGGACTGTTTGATATGAAGATATATTCTGAAATTTCAGACCCGTTCTCATAAGGAAAATTTTTAAACTTGTTAGTTTATTTTAAGCTTCTTTTCCTTTCATTCATCATTCTAATGAACTCATAACATTAATTATGACCAATTATTTTTATTTTTCATAATATTCCAAGGGAGAAATACTTTAAAAAAAGAAAAAAATAAAAATTTTTTTGGGCACCAGTGCTTCTCACCTAAAAAAACCAACTTGAATTTAAAAAAATATCAATTTAGGATAAATGTAAGGAAAAATTTTTGAACTGAGGACTGAAGAGTTTTTGTAAAAATTCTTCGAGTTTTAGTGAACTTTTCAAACGACTCTTTATTAATTTATTTTTCAATAGTTTTTGTATTTTTTCTATACTTTCAGAAAACCAAAAATCAATGGAAAATCAACTAAAAATGACCAAAAAGAGCCGCTTTTTTTAGTCCAGCCCATTGTTGTCTTTCAATTCTCTTCTCACTTCCTTTTCTCAACTACAGCCTGGTTTTTTCCTCATTTTTCGCCTTCTTGTGAACCAAATCAGGCGTTCGACGGAAGTCAACGGCTTCAAACGAACTCGAGAATCTTCTCCCTTTTCCCTCGGCTTTCGCATCCCATCGAGTGACGTCATCTTTGGATAACTATCGATTTGGGGGGCGGAGCTTGAGGGGATGCTGATGGAAAATGACGGACGTCGAGTAATTGCCAGTCCCCGGGGCACATGTATCACTTCCAGGCGGATTCAAAGGGTTCCAATCTTTCTGGCAACCTTTTTTGGTTTTAATTGAGGAGGTTAATGAAATAGATAAAGTTGCCGGGGGGATGGGGGGACCGCAGATTCTGACTTAGAGTTTTTTTCTTGAAAACCCGACTTTTTTTGGATAACCAAACACAAAGAAAAGTTTTTGAAATCGGAAAGTGATGATGATTTTCCGATTACTTGCTCGTTTTTATGGTGAGTTCACAAAGAGCTTCATTTCACTCGCAAAAAAACTTGAGCAAAAAAAAAAAAATTAGGAGAAAACCAAGCATTTTTCAGTTGAGAAATCGTTATGAAAAATCAAAAGAAAAATTTAAACTTAAATTCACTTTTCCTGTCAAAGTTTCATCTAAAAAATCATCGTTTCTAAAGTTTTTAACCTCCCATAAAGAAACTATCATAACTGCATAAAGAAAAACTCCGATAATTGATGAGAAGGCGTAGAGAAAAAGAAAAAGACAATTTCGATGCGCTCATCATTAATTAATTGAAGCAATAGTAGTTCGAGTACTTGTGTTCGTTCAAAAATTAAAGATCTTTTGATGAGTATGAAGTTCATTTTAAAAAAAATACCATAATTTGGAGAAGAAAATAACTCGTATAATTGGTTTTTTTGAAACTGGGACTTTTCAATAGATTCCGACCTCAGTATAAACTTGAACTGAGAAAAAAAAATGAGGTAATAATCAAAAACTAACAGCTTCAAAATTGACGATGACCAAACATTTTTTTGAATATTTTTTTAAAATGGCTTAAAAATTCAATTATTTTTTTCTGAAACCTGAAAAAAATGCATCTTTTTTTCGGAAAAAGCTATAAAATCAAAATTGGATTTTTTTCTATTTTTTTCTTCCGATTTTTGAAATTGAATCCTAAGATTTTCAAACGTAATATTGTTCAAAAAACCTTCTCCAATACCTTCTGAGATTCTTGGGATTTCAAATTCGAGGAAGTGCATTTTTTCGGACAACTTTTATGAGGGGAACTGGATTTTTGAGTCTTGAAAAAACTAAAATTGAGATCCTCAAATTTTTTCTGTTCGAAAACCAATTACGATACATAGCATCTACATACATACATCCTAAGCATCCTAAAAAAACCTAAAAATTTCTAAAAATTTTTTTCCAAATGTTTTACAATTTATATGGTCAAAACTGGATTTTCCGTAATTTTCAAATTTCAGTTCAAAATTAAAAGACTAAAGCTCAATACCGATCAAAAACGTACTACCTTCTGAGATACCTAGACCTCAAAATTGGCGGTGCTCGATCTCCGGAAGGCGTCCGGCGTTCCGGCACGAGACTCGGTCTGAGAAGCCATTTTTTGATTGATATCCGTGGCTCTTCTGCTCATGGACCTACCCACTTCTGTTTCGTCTTCTCCTTTTTCTGTTTTGCATCCGAGAAAAGTCGGATAACACATTCCATGCATTTCGTTTCGGGCAGCCCTCTCTTGAGTATGTATTATGTGTTTTTGGGCGAAAATTTTTGAGCAGAAAAAAGATCTCGTTTCACTTGGCATTGGTTTTTTATTGGAGTCTTGATATGAGTTTGTTTTCCTTGTTTGAAAAAAACATTTAGCATAGCTAAAAAGTCCGAAAGAGCTGATATTCCGATGAATATTTAACTAGGAAACGAAAAAAGAAAACATTTCTTAAAATAGATCTCGTTTTCGAGTTATGAGCCTTCAAAGTCCGCAAAACACGCAGATTAGACCAACAATAAGCTTTTTCAGGCTTTTAAAGCGTCCTAACTCGAAAACGAGATCTATTGCGAGAATTTTTTTTTTGGGGTTAAAAAAATCCCTAGTAAGATGAAGTTCTCAAAAAAATATGAACCAAGTTCCGGTATAGTTGAGGGGGTGATAAAAAAACTGGAAAAAAACTCCCAAAGAACTGAGAAAAAAATGTTTTTTTCTTTTCTGGCAAAACAAAAGGTTTCTGTGTACCTTTTTGAATCAAATCAGCAAATATTTTAAATATTTTTGTGGCACTAGATTTATTATTTTTTTAACTGAGTTGTTGAATAATTTTCTTACTTTGATTTGAAAATATTCAGACTGTATGGCTGATATCCATGTTTAAACTATTAACCTTTTTCAATTTTTTTCGAATTTCAAACTTTTTGAGAAAAAAATAGGCTTCCAGAAGATTGAAACTGCATGTATTTTTGAATTTTTTTGTTTTAAAGCTTATGTTTTTTTATTTTTTTGGAAGCCTCAAGTCTTCCCTAGAGCGCAATAGTATGTACGTAAAAAAACTTTCTCTACATTTTTTTACAGTTTCAGGTTTTTTTCCCCCTATTTCAAGTTTATAACATTTTTGGAAATTTTTTTCGGAACTTCTATGAAGGAACAAGATTGTTTGACTTTGTTTCAATCCCGTATGGACACATTAATAAATATTTCGATAAGTTTCAATAATTTGATTACTGCTAGAAACCGTGATAAATTATAAGCGCAAACTTTCTTGATTTAAAATTATTCCATCTTTTTTTTGCCACTCACTTCAAGACTAATTTTGTTCACTTACAATAAAATCGTATGAAAATTAACCAGGATTTCAGAAAATGCGCGCCAAAGTAGATTTGAAATTTCAGGTGGCGTCGTTTTTGAGTGCATCCCAAAGCAAGCGATGAACGCATTATTTTACTTTTTTCATGTTCTGGTTTTTTTAATCATCATTTTTATTCCCATTGAAGTAAATTGCTTTGTAAATCTGTTTTCTATATGTTTCAAGACTAAGAAACTCGATTAAAAGTGGATTTTTACCGCAGTAAACTCAATAAGAGTTGATGTGGTTTCTTGGAACTTTTGAAAATTTTTAGATGATCTTCTCATGATTTTTCCTTCTCAAAATGGTTTTGAAGTCTGAAATTTGCACAGAAAGTTCCCTTTTTCATTATTTTTTTCAAAAAAAGGTCGAAAAAAGTTTGAAGTGATAATTTACTGGACAGATCTCTCCCGTCTTCCCTAAACTTGAATTTCGAAGCCTATTTCCGAAAAAAAGGCGCCAAGTTCTCTGACCACTGCGACGGCCATCAATTTCCCGCCAAAACAACTGAGCAGTTGGCACTTTTGTGCTCCGAGTGGGAGATGAAGCGAGGAAAAAAAAACGGCCGCCCTCTTCTTTTTCGTCGACTTTCATATCCGAGTCGTCTTCTTTTCTTGTAAAGAACTTTTTCTTTCATTCATGAAATTTTTTTTTTTTGAGACTTAATAACCATCTTTTTTGAAGAAAGCATTAAAAATTAGCACCTTTAATGAATAAGCGATACTGAAAAGCTATCTCACTTTACTGTTTCTCATATATCATTAATATTTGATTCAATACTAAAAATTTTATTCAATCGAATCCCTTGGTTGTGGATATGAAGTTTTCAAAATTTTTCGTGCTGAAAAAAATGTCAGAAACTGAAAAAAATTGAATTTTTTTCATTGAATACATTCTTTTCTGATTTTTTTTCTCTGAAGGTCAAGTTTATTATATTGTACAGCCCTGATGTATAATTTCAAAAAGCTTCAACTCATCAAAAAAATTTTTTGCCAATTCCTTTTTTCATTTTCATATCTTATATTCCATTTTATTTCTTGTAGCCAGAAAAATGTTTGAAAAAGTTCGGAAAAAATAAATTCTCTAAAAAAGACGAATCGAGTTTATAGTTGCAAAGAGTCTATGGAAAATCCATAGATAACTGAATTTTTTTTTATTTGAACTTTTGAAAACCGCAAAGTTCTTAAAAAAATGTTTTAAATTTTCCAAGGATCATAAGTCTTCCGAAGCCTGAAAGGACATTCAAAACGGCTCTCCCCTCCTTGAGAACCTTTTCAAAATTTCTCTATGCTCCTTTAAAAGTCTCAGATAGGATTCTTTCAATCAGACTACACTCCATTTTAGTAAGATGTTTTTCGTGCCTGCGCTCAAGAAAATGATAAATAGTTTAAGAAAGGAGAAAATGACAAGTTTTTGATATATTGCTAACGATTTTCGGACGATGGATTTCTATAAATACTCGCCTATTTTTCTAAGCTTTTTTAGAAAAAGTTATTAGTTCTTGGAAGCCACCCATTCCACAAACCCAACTCATTTCAATCAGAAAAAAAAGAAGAGCCAAGAGAGCTGCAAATTAAGTTAGAAGGGCAGAGGCAAAAAAAGCTCACGACGTCTCATTTTTCAGGAGGAAAAGGATTTTTGCGCATTCCTGCTTAAGTAATCATGTACCCGGGCTTAAAATGGCCGATGGAAAGCAAAGAACGTTGTTTTTCAACGAAGAAGCTCATCATTCACCTCAGCTTGGAGAAATTCGAGTGTAACAGTAGAAAAAGCGTCAGAACACAGGTGGCTCAACTTCCTTCGGGATTTTCACCACCTGAAATCCGAGATTTTGAGTGCTTCGACGTTCTTTTCTTCTCCTAGATCTCAGTTCATCTTATTCGGTTTTTCAACAACGTTTTTCAACCTCTTTTACTATATTTTCTTTCTCTGAAGCTTTAAATTCGATTTATTTGAATTTTTGAGTATCGTCAAAGGCTGTTTTATTACTAAAAAAAAAAAAAATAGAAAATGATTATTTATGGATCGACAGAAACGCGAATTTCTCGTATATTAATGAATTTAGGCGAGCATCACATTTTTTTCATTGAAAAATTTTTTTACTCTTCATTTTTTTGATCTTCAAAAATTTTGGAATGCTATAAAAATTACAGCGAATTGGAAGATTTCATGTTTTCACCGACATAAAAATGAAAAGTTCGGAAAATGACGGCTTTTCTTGGGAAATAATTTTTTATTTGCAGCGTCACGTGTTCGATTTTTTCTGTTCATTTTCACACACTGATAAATTTATTGCATTACGAACGGATTTGTTTACAAGAAAACGGGGAAAAAATTGAAGAAACGCTGATTTTTTGTTGGAAATCGTTTCATTTTTTTTTAAGTGCAAGTTGAAATTTCTAGAATCAAGCAATTTCAACAAAAACCATTTTTTTTCGTTCTTCATAGGTCTTCCATTTTCTCAGATATCTAATCTTTTTTTCTATTTTCTGTGCCTTAAAATTCAAAATTAGTTTGGACTGGTGTTTGAAACTTTATTTTTTTTGTTGTTCTATTTTTCCAACTATTAAGTTTGGTTCTTATTTTGTGGGAGCTAGTGTAATCTAGTAAAGAATAGCGTTTAAAGTTCATATTTTTTTTGTATTTCGGAAAGCTTCAATTTTTCTTAGGAAAGGTAGCTTCACATTCTTCAAGTTTTCATTCTTCTTTTCTGAGCCTTAAAATTTGAACAGGGTATAAGCATTTTTTCCATCCTTCTTAGCTTAGATGAAGGTAGTTCCCCAATCTTCCAACATCTTCTCAACTTTCTGAGCCTCAAATTTCGAACCTAGTAAGGATCTCCGAAGAGATTTCGATCTCGGTCCAGCCGGCCGAAGATTGCGGCGGCGGTCATCACTCACACGCCCCGAGGGCCGCCGTCGTTCCGCTTTTCCGGTGTTATTCCTGCTCGATGCCCATGTTACACCGATTCCGCTCAGCTGTTTCCAACCGATTCGACTCGACCAATGTTCTTGGGAAAACAGGAAAATGTGTTCGATAATGTCGACTTCACAGCGCTAACTTTTGTTTTGGCACATTTCCAGTTTGATTTTAATCCAAGCTCTTTCCGTTTTTCTGTATATTCTCAGAAATTTTCCTTTTTTTATAGTCAATTCTTCTTGACGTGAAAGGCTAGATGGTCAGATTGGCAAGTTTAGTGGAAAACTCAAGATCAAAAGCGAGCCCCCATTTTTCTTCTTTTTTGAGTTTTTCAATAAATTTTTATTTTTCATGGTTTCGAGAAAATTTATTCAAACGGATAAAAGTGAAAAAATAATCGATAAATCCTTTTATCTACGTTTTTTTCCCGTACTGTGTTTGAATTTGAATTTCCCGCCAAAAGCCGCGTCGCACACACAACGCGTCACCCTTGCCAATCTACACATCAAAGTCTAAAAAAAATCAACCATGGTTGAGCTCCATATGAAACTTTTTTCTGATTATGTTTTTAATCTTGATTAAAAGTATAATTTTCAGCTTGAAAATATATAATAATTTGTCCAATTGATCATTTAATCCGTAAAAAATATATTGAGGATGGAAAAAAAAAACTAAAGAAAGGCAAAACTTAATCTAAAACACCTCGAAATTCTAAAGCACCCCATCAACTTTTGGCTTCTCGTGTTTTTCTCCTGTTGTTTCCCAGCTTTCTATTATTAATCAAATCAAATTTGCAGATGACGCTATGTGGAATCATCACAGAATGTAAGGAAAAAAAGTTGCTGCGAATCCTACATTTTCCGACTTTATCTTCTTGCCTTCACGTTGGTTTTTGAAAAAAATTTTGAGGACTTTTTAAAATTATTAAAAAATAAAAATCTTGGGATTTCAGAGTATTCATGGTAGTTTTGGCGTTGCTGGTTGCTTCTGGTTGGATGCTCTACGAAGTTCGCAACAACTATTTTAGGTAACTTTTCTGTTTTTAAGTTTTTCTTGATTGCAAGACGCTAAATTTGGTTTGAAAAAGTTTAAAAACTTGTTGAAAGGTTTTTTGACACAGTGCAACTTGATAAGCTTTGAAATTCAATATCTTTGAGCTTCTCACGACTTTTTTTCTGTTTTTTTGAAAATCTCTACGGAGTATAAGCTAACGGATGAACTTCAAAGTTTGAAAAAAATTTTTTTTTGAAGTGACTTTTTCAACAAATTTTCATGACTTTTTCTTTACCGAAAACTCTTCAGCAAACATTTATAAGATAATGAAATTTCTTTGTATATCAATGGTCAATTTTTCAGATATTCACTCGTTAGCTATTCATCCTCAACCTAAATTTGAAAATAAATAAATCACCTCAAAAAATAAACATTGTTAAGGTACTTCTTGTTCGAATTATGCCTAGTTCACAATTTCCCGCGTTAAGAAAAGAAAATATTGAAAAATTGAAGGAATCGGTTGCGTCGGTCGGACACAGACGAGCAGGCCCGAATCGAAATGGCCTCTTTCGAGGAAACCAAGTACTTGCGGCGCTACTCAGAACTCAAGTTTGTTCAATTTTTTTTTCTCTTCTTTTATAGTCAATTTTTCCCGACTTGAAAAGCGATTTGGGTAGATTGGCAAGGGTGAAGCGTTGCGTGTGCGACGCGGCTTTTTGGCGGTAAACTCGGTTTCAAACACGAGCTACCTTTTTTTCCTTTTCCGATGGACTTACAATAAATTTTAACTTTTTATGGGTTTGAAAAAGGTTCAGTATGATGTATAAAAAGCATGAAAAATATTAAAAAAATCACTTTTTTTCAAACTTTTGCAATGATTAAGTTTGAGTTCGTATCGCCACCCCCCCTCCCTCCCAAAAGCCGCGTCGCACACGCTACGCGTCACCTTTGCCAATCCATCCATTTCTCTTTTTCAGTCGGAAAGATCGCCCATACTTTTCTCTCATTTCAGCTTCTTTCTTAATTCTTAAGTTTGCCCTATGTTACCTTTAACCATCTTTCCTATCTTTCATTCTAATTTTTAGTCTTTTCTTTCTTCCTTTACTAAATTAATCTCTGTTTAGTGACTTAGAAGGACGGCCGCACAACTGAAAAATCCGTTTTGCATTGCATCTCGTGTAAGTTAAAATAACAGTTCGATAGCACGTCTGTGTCAAAGTTGTCGAGTTTATAATCGTTATTTGACTTCAGACTTTTTTCATGATATTAATGAAAAGTTTAATAAAAAAAGCTAACTTCACTTAAACTTTCCCCGAGTTGAGCCGCGTTTGCAGTTATAAAAAAAAATGAAACTCTTTTTGACTGCCAATTTGAGCCATTCCAAATGCGACCACTCAGGCTTAAGTCGAGGAAAATCCAACATCACCTGCTTCACTCACAACAAAATCTAGATTAGGCTAACAAATGTCCTCATTGTTCTCACTGCAGTTCATGCACGATTCTCTTCCACGCTTTTAAAAAATCATGTCAAAAAGCTGGGAAAAGTTGAACGTGTCGCAACCGCAATGCGTCGAGCCATTCCCATGCGGCTGTGGCTTTTTGAAAATCGATTACCAAGTGTCACACTAACATTGTTGAGCTTGTCCTTGTCTCAATTCTCACGAAGTTTCGAAGGTATAAGACTAGCAAATAGTAAAATGATTTTTCGTAAATCATGTTTGACTTGAAAAACTCAAAATTTCACATCACCGTTCGAATTTTCGCTGGCTTTTTTTTTCATACCACCCAAAAATCAAGCTCATGAAATTGTGTGTATTAATTATTAGATCTCTTCTTTTTGAAATAGAAATTTTCTTTTGAAAAATCCAAATAAAAAAACCCAAGACTTTCAACTTTGGTCTACTACTAATTTCATCAATAATATTAAAAAAATTTTTTTCTGATTTTTTTTGGTCTAGAAAAAAATCCTAGGAATAAAAATCAGAAGTCCAATTAACCTCTTTGCTTGTCTTAAACCTTCTAAGTTCAATTATTTTATTTTTCAAATCAAACCCGAATTTCAGCCCTCTACAAGCACGGAAGCACTCCTTCGAGATGTAATTTTTCTCTTTCTTCCTTTTTTTCCAATAAACTACTATATTTAATGAAATCCCCATGTAAATTTGCTCCACTGCCTTTTTTGTATTTCTTTGTGAAAAAAGTTTGATTATAGCTTCAGGATTTTGATCTTTAGACTAGCCGTCGTACCTCCACTGCTCACTCTGCATATTCACATTTTCCTCCTCCGATGTTTTTTTTTTCATACGATGTTCCAACTGCTTTTAGAATGTCGTTATTTCTTTGTTTACGCGTATTTTTTGAATACAAAAAAAGATTTATTTTGTTGCGTTTTTTTTTTCAAGGAAACAAATATTTTGAAAAAAAGTGTATGACGTGATGATGGAAATTATTCGAACAGATTGACGAGCCAAAATAACGCTGGGAACAGCTCTTCGCTTCGAGACCCTTATTCAATTATCTATTCTCCTTTAAGATTTATAGCAGGAACTTCAAACTTTAAAGTCTTTTTAAAGATTCAACGAAAATTGAAAAAAAAAAAACTAAAAAAATGCCAAATCGATTAAAAAAAAGAAAAGCTAAAAAATTTGGTTTCAACAAGACCGCCAGATATTCTTAAAAACAAAGGAAAAAAATTAATTTTTTTCATTACGTCTCTAGGTTTCATGAGCTTTTTGAGCACCTGATTTGGAAAAACTTTTTTTTTCGTTCAAGTTTGAAATAATGAAATGTTTCAACTACAAGCTAAGAAGGACCTCGTCTTATAATACACATAAAAAAGGGATCATTCAAAATTTTAAATCACAAAAACTTTCAGAGAACTTTTCTGTTTTCTCGAAGTTTCGTGAGTCCAAGGTCGTGTGAACTTACAGGTATCGCTCTTAATTGATGCCATTTATGGACTTGGCCTCAATTTGAAAATATTTCCCGCGCAAATCAGGCCTTTTCTACTCACTTCGACCTTCAAAGCCAAAGGTCGCACTTGGAATGGCTCGAAGCGTAGAGGCAAAAATCGAAAAATCGGCAAAAATGACAAAAAATTATTCTAAACGCAACGCGAACGCGATGCCTTAGTCATTCGATTTAATTCCATTTTTTTTCAAAAATCAAAGTTTTTTTCTGAGAATTTTTCTGCCTGAACTGCTTCTTGGCTAGGTGTAAAGAACCTCTTTAAAGGCATGGGGGGTAGTAAAAAACGGTGTTTCAGTTCAAAGCAGTACTTTGTAGAGCTTTTCATTGCGAATCGAACACAAAGCATTTTCAAAGTCAAAGGCGGGAAAGTAAAACCGCGTTTTTTTCTTCTAAAGTTGTCCCATCTGTAATTTTTTTGAGTACACCGTTCGATTCGCAAAAAAATATATATATAAGATACTGCTTTCACCTGAAACCCTATTTTTTACTGCCCCTATGCCTTTAAGTCATGTTCAAAGTAATTTCCGGAATACTCGAAATTATCTCTGACTTTCCAAAATGATAGAACTGTTTAGAACTGTTTATTGCATCTTCAATGTAAGAGTAAATGTGCAATCGACTTTCATTGATTTCAACTGTGTTTAAACGGCGGCAGGAGCTGTGGCTTAGGCAGAGAAGTTGTGAATTTCGCTCGTAGAACATCAGGTACAAGAGAGGTCGTAGGAAGAAGTACGGTGCCGGATTTCCAAAGGCCGATGGCAGATATTGAGCCTTTCGCTGCATGCAGCTCCCAAATTTATCTACCCCGGTGGGATGAAAGGCTTGGTCGACCTCGGGGGGACTCGAACCTACGACCTTGCGGACGTTAGAAATGAGTTATGCCAGCTGAGCTATGCCGCCGACTTTCCAAAATGTTTTTTTTTTAACTTTTCCCTCTCAGACGGCTCTTTTGAACTTTGCGGGATCTTTTTGAACACGGAATAAGAAGTTTTAATCCGAAAAAAATAAGGAGGCAACGGTTGAGAAATGGGTTGGAAAAGTAACGATCCGCCATTTGGGTCAGCGAAATTTCGGTCGACATTTCTCTTCTTCGCCTTTTCTCTGTACTTCTGGAACGGTTTTCAACTACACTACATTCTGCTTATGAGGGCCACATCTTCCAATATGTTCTTCAAACCGTCTCCTATTTTTCTAATTTTGGTTCTGTTGGGTTAGTTGTTTTTTTTTTTAGAAACTTGGAGGTTTGTCCGAGAAAGAAAACTTTCTAATTCCAGCCTTGTCCCTCGCACTTTACACAGTTCTACCAATCATTTCAATACAACGACAACGGATGTCTCTAGAAACTGACAAGTATACTTTCAACCAAAAATTAAACTTTCTTGATTTTCAGCAGGAATTCCTTGTTCCGAGAAGGGAACGGCATGTTTTACGAAGTTAAAAATAAGCCTGAAGTCAATGAAGACGACAAGAAAATGTGGTATCCGTACTGTTCGCCTGTGAGTTCCTTTTGGTAAAATTGAGAAAAATTGGGTTCATTCAGGGCGAAATAAGAGACAGTGAGAGGTTACTGACGACAGAAATGGGAGCTTTCCGGGGAAATGGGAGTCTGGGTTCGTTTTGAAAAATGGTATAGTCCGTGTTCCGCGACTTGATAAGGCAGGACTTCTCTGCGCCCTCCTCGTTTCTCGGCGACCCTCTCATGTTCCCGTGCTATTTCCATGCTTATCTGAACTCGCCGGCGAGGAAACAGAGAGACGCAGACACGCGAGAACTGTCAAGTCGCGGCGGACGGACTATAAAAAGAGGATGAAAAGCAAAAAACTACGGAAATAAGCTAGAAAAATAACGATGCTATACGTTTCACGTTATATTTTTTGGAAAAGTTTAATTTTTTTATAAACCGTTATTTCTCCTAACTGGCTTCTATTCTCTTTTATTAAAATCGCGATGAAAACTCTATCAATGGCGTTAATGTCATGAAACACATTTTCATCATAGCCCATCTCTTCTTGAATTTTGGTCCAATAATTTTCAGGAGAGCAACTTTTCGAGCTCGCCTCCTTATACGGTCTCAGCCGAAGTCTCAACCGAAAGCCGGTTCTCGACCTTACTATTCCTAATCTGCCAGTAACTCTTCAAAGCGCCGTCAATCGACTCTTCCCCCGGCTTATTTCATATTTCCAGCTCAGATTTACCGACGTAAGAGTTCAAGTTTCCATTAAATACGTTACATTCAAATTATTCCAATTCAATTAGCCTACAGCTGCGACCGACCTAAAAAGACTTACCTATTTTATTTCAAGATGCTGCCAAGCGAAAGTAGCTTTTAGTCAGGCGCAAGTGAAGATTCAAGTTGACTGCGCGACGCGTTGAGCCATCTCTTACGCTATCGACGCGTTTCAATTTTCGGAATTACTCCAGCCGCGCAAGTAGCTTTCAGTCGGGCACAAGAAAAAGTTTAAATTTACTGCTTTAACGAGACTCTTAAAAGATCATGACGTATCAACGTTTATCGAAAATGATTTTTCAGACGTTTCCAACAAGAGAAGAAGTCGACGTGCGACGAAATGAAAGTTTGCTTTTTGAAAGCTTGGAAACCAGCCCGGCCCAAGCAGCTCTGGGATTTTACTTGCACGTGAACACTTCTAGCTTCAAGGTTCTACTTTCCAGTTTTTTTTTTGTAATTTTATTTTCAGAGTTACAAGTATTTCGATAAATATCGGGAATTACTCGGAGTGATGCGAGTTACAGACACACAACTGCAAGAACAAGCTAATGCGATTCTTCCGGAAACGCAGAAAGAAGACTTTTTGTGAGAATTATTGATTTTTCTGGACCTTCAAAAAAGTTTGCTGGAGTGATTAAGAGAGCAGAGATCTCGGATAAAATAAAAGTACAGTAAAAAAAGCTCATCGCTAAAAAAAAACTTCTTGAAACAGCTATGTTCCTTTAGACATTCTAAAAACACAACAACAAAATTGAAAATTTTCAAGAATTTGCATGCACGTGGACAATTCTACCGGTGAAAGTTCTGCAGAAGAAAAGAAATTATCGAGATTTGCTGCTGAATATCTTGTCAAGAAACGTAAGTTAGAGTGAATGAAAAGCTGAGAGAGAACAGACATTGCGTTTATATCTGCTCGTCTGCGTCTCCATATTTTACACGCACACTATTTTTTTTCACGTTTACAATTAAAACTTGAAAAACCTTAGACTCAGTTTGGAATGGCTACTAGCTTAAGTTTTCGCGCTGCTTTTTGACTTTTTTACTCACTTCATAGCTGCGCCCTACTTTGAGCGACTTACTCTCTATGCTTCAGGATGCAGCCGCGCGAAAGTAGTTTGTAGTCGGGAGCACTGTAGAATTCGACGCGTTGAACCAATATTGAGCTTTTCAAGCCCTGAAAAAGATTAATATAGCCATTTTTTTAAGATTTCGGAAAAATGACCCAAAATATTTCCGTCGCAGTTATCGGCAGAGGATCCAACGATTGGAGGAAAGTTTTTGAAGGTAAAATATGTTCATTTTTTTCAAAATGAGTTTCAAAAATTTTCAGAATTCACCATCACCACTGAATCGCTCTCCCACTTGTATGATGTTAGTTTTATTCTTTTTTTTCAAATTATTTGATCGATTTTCAGTTGATCTACACGGATTCAAACGAAATCGTCGATTTGGTGTTTTCACAGAAGCATTGTCACGTTGTTCTTCTGGCTGGTTTGAATAATTTTTTTCAATATTTTCTATTTTTCAAAATTAATTTTCAGATTCTCTCTCGGTTCCAGGCTGGTGGTTCGCTTATCTTTCTAAAGCCAAAGATCAAATTTTCTACAGGGAACCGAAAGAAGTAGTTTTAAACTTTGCAAAAGATAAAAATTTGATATTTTCAGTCTAATGAGATCACAAATCTCGACGATTATTTCCCACAAACTTGGATCAAACTCCGGCTGACCGTCCATAGTCGCCAATGATTTTCTACATTTTTAGATTGATGCCAAAGCAATTTTACAAGATATACGGGATGAATTTAAAAAATGACCTTGAACAGTAAATAATAAAAAAATTTTTTTACGTACGAGATGGTGCTTAATTTTTTTCATTTTATTGATGGCAAGTAAAGATACGGGTCTGTATATATTTGTTTTTTGTTTTCTTCTTATCTGGGAACATCGAGCGTTTGTTCAAAATATTCTTATCAGATCTCGGTATAGTCAATTTTTCCCGCCTTGAAAGAAAGGCGAGGGAGACGGGGCAAAGGGCGGGACGCGTAGCGTGTGCGTACGCGGTTCTTGGCGCCTGTTTAATTCAATCGCTACCGACTCTTTAAAAAACTCTGTCACCGCACTTTTTTATATTTTATACTATTTTTAAATGCGCACATGAAAAAAAATGAATAAATAATTTGAAAAAAAATGAAAAGAGTGAGAAACGGGCTTTCCAAATAATTGCTGGCGGTTGAATTGAACTCGTGTCAAGAACCGCGTACGCAAACGCTACGCGTCCCGCCCCCTGCCCCGCCTCCCTCGCCTTTCAAGTTGAAAAAAATTGACTATAACGAAAAACGAACGCGCTCCGGACGATTCTTTTAGGGATCACTAAGTAGTGCTGACTCTACTAAAGTGAGAACTAAAAATGCTCGCGCGTCCAGTGCGCGTTATCAAGGTCCGACTTGATATTATTAAAAACAATTTTAAAAAAAAGACAAGCTGAGAAAAAACTTGGTTATAGTAGAGATTGATATATATTTTGGACCAAAAACAGGGAAAAAAAATTTCAAAAAAAGGTTTTTTTGAACGGTTTTCAAAAAGATTATTGCGTGGTGAAAATTTCTCAAATTCAAAAAATGCTTCACGTGTTTTTTTTCAGCCAATATTCAAAATTTCATTTTCACAATTTTTTTCATTAAAATTTTCAGCTGTCGTCCTGATTACGATCTTCTTCAATTTCATCTTGTTTTCTCTAGTTTCGGCGGTTTTCATCTTCAGAGCCTATAGAAGAACGAAAAAACAACGGCTTTCGTTGAAAATTTCGAACGAAAGCACCATGTCTGTTGAGGTCGGCTTCAGCTTTAACTATATAACAAAAAAAAAACGAGAAATTTTGCAGAAAATCGACAAAAAAGCAAAGTCTTCTGAGTCGATCATTGCAACGTAACCCTGATTTTTGTTCTTCCAGTCTTTTCTCAACACTTTTTCTTTAATACATTTTTGTTCAAATTCTTCATCGTAGTCGCAAGATTGATTTTTTGAAAACGGATCCTACATGATTATCAATTTTTATATTTAATACTTCTCTGAAAAGTATTTTTATAACTTCGACAGAATAATGAATAATATTTCTGACGAGGGAATTTACCAACATTGCTCAAAAACAGGTTTTTCAAAGAACTACTGCAGTTCATTATGTTATAAGAAACACGAGAAAGAAATTTTCACCCTAAAAAACCGAATAGAGTCAGCTTTTGGTAGTTTTGGATGTGTTTGACTTATCCGACCAAATCTCCGATGTCTCCCTCGTGAGTCACGTCCCTAAAACACAATACAGTTTCTAAACCCGAATAAAATTTGAATGCCGTTCTCAGCCCTACTTCTTTCTTTAGCTTCGTTTGTGCAAAAAATGATTAGCAAAACAATATTTCAAAAAAGCTTATCCATAAAAGTAAGAATTTTTCTAGTTTTCGAATCCCAGAACTTATCCGAAATTTCCATATTGTTGATCTCTAGAGTTCTCGAGTTTTTCACTTGAAAACACGCCTTTGAAATGACGCCAAGGAAAATACTCGCCGAACAGGCGTCCAGTACATGGGAACGTCCGAAAACGTTGTAACCTGATTTCGCAGCTGATCTCGTCAGGTTGAAATGGACAACACGTTCTTAAAATCGATGGATTTTCTATTTATAATCCTGTCCTCGTTTGAAGGACCCAATTTATGGGAAAATTGAGGAAAGTTATGAAATATTGAAAGAAAAAATCGTCTCATTGATCTTTGACAATATAAATGTGAAATTTGAGTTTTGTTATACTAAAAACAACTATAAAAAAATAAAAAAATATAGGTTTTCATGATTTTTTTATTGTTTTTTTACGTCATCTCTTTGAGTTTTTTTCCTTTTTCTCCTATCCGTTCAAAAACAGGGGTTTTTTTCTAGAGTTCCCCATGATTTTCGTTTATCGTTTTTTTGATTAATTTTAATCACGAAAAAATTTCTCTCGAAAGAGATATGTCGAACTAAAAAAAAAGCTTCAGCCCTGTCAAAACCTTGAATTAGCTCTCCAGGCGTTGTATTTTGGCCTTTTTCTCAGCTTGATCCGCAGATTTTTCTTCAATACGATAGAACAAAAGCGTTTCTTGAGGTATAGTCTGTGTGCCACGTCTTGAAGTTTCACCGAACGATATTCCGCTGTTCCGCTGCGTGCGTTCGCGAAGCGTCTTTCGAATCTAGGTCACGCTTTCAATTGGTTTTTATTGCTATGGGAGCCCATGAAAGTAAAGTACCTTGATAAAAAAAAATTGAAAGCGCGACCAAGTATCGCATAGGCGTGCAGCGGCACATCGGAATGTCGTTCCGTGAAATTCCAAGTCATGGTACACAGAGATAGTAACTTGAACATGACTTGAGTCTATTTTTGAGTTATTTGAGTCGCGAAGAATGAGTTTTGCAAAAAAAAAATTCAACATAGTTAGTGTTGAACTAAAAAACAAGCTCCAGTCTTGTCAAAACCCTTAAAGGCATAGGGGCAGTAAAAAACGGGGTTTCAGGTGAAAGCAGTATCTTCTATAGTTTTTATTTGCAAATCGAATGGTGTACTCAGAAAAATTACAGATGTAACAGCTTTAGAAGAAAAACGCGATTTTACTTTCCCGCCTTCAATTTTGAAAAATGCTTTGCGTTCGATTCGCAATGAAAAGCTTTAGTACTGAAACACCGTTTTTTACTGCCCCTATGCCTTTAAAAGAATTTCGCGCCCCCGACTTTCCCCTGCTTTGTTTCGACTTGACCCTCGGCCTGTGATCTGCTCACCACATGCAGTGATATATTCGATGATGAGAGTTGTCGACGGCCTCCGGCTGCTCGGTTCAATCACACGCCCTGGTGTAACACCCACTCGCGCAATTTTCACATATTTCTCCGGTGACCCCGGGACATTCTCCCACGCTTCTCCCGTTTTATCTCCCAAATCTTATCTCCTCTCAGATAATTTTCTCCTAGATAATTTCAAAAAAAAAAAACTGAGGGGTTTTTTTTGACCTAAAAGAAAGGTCATTTCTGGCTTGAGCTTTTTGCTGAGGGATCAGTGAGCGGTCAGATCAGTAGTGAAGGACTTTTCAAACTTTACAAGATTTCAACAGAACTCTGAGCGTTTTTTTTCATTTTTCAGCATAAATCATCTCTATCTCAACCAAAAACCTTTGGTTCTGAGTTTGCGGGCGCAAAAGATTCACTCCTAAAATGGCTTTTCGCTTTGAAACCGCTATAAAAATTGTCTAGGCGTTTCCGGGCTTTCGGCTGGAATTTTGGTGCAATTTTGTTAGACTTATCTCTGATTACAGAACTATAGAAAGTTTCTAACAATAAAACTGTTTATCCAGTTTTAAAAATACGCTTCAAAAGCTCGAAACAGCGCTTTGATGTCATAAATTGCGTACTTTACAAACTTTGAAGTTTCATCAATTAAAAAAATAAACCAAAAAAACTATAAGCTAGAAAAAAATCTATTAAATCTTCAAAAAAAAAAAAATAAGACTAGGATTTTCAATAAGGAGTATATTGAACTCAATGTGGAACGAGAATCAAATGGGAATAAGTAGAAAAGTGTGAATTTCAAGAACATTCCTAAAATCATTGAATGAGATTTTGATTAGAAAAATGGTCACTATAGGGTGAGGACTGAGAATGAAAGCTCGTAGTCCTAATTTTATTTTCATTTTTTATTTCCAAAACTTCATCCCAGCGCTCCGAGTTCTACAAATAACGCTGTTAGTAAAAAAAATTTTCTAAATTTTTTTTTTTCCAGATCTATCATTTCAATATATTTTGATAAATTGCCTCCTCTCCTTTCAATCTTCTTACGTTCTAATATGTGATTATTTTTGCATTTTCAGGAACCTACTTATTTTCTTTTTCAAACCTTAGAACAAAAAAATTTTTCAAGACAAAACATTGAATAAATTATAAACCATACTTGGAAGTTCTCTGAATATTTTTCTGCATCCTGTCTGGTTTTCCGTAAAAAACTTATTTTGAATCGAATCAAGAATAGGGAAAACATTGCCTTTCAATTTTCCGATTATTTAGAATCGTACACGATTCAGGGTATCATGAGAAATCCTCTTTTTCTGTCCTTTTCTTTTTCAAACGTAATTTTTTCTCAACTTCTTCATGAACCTACTTGTAAGATACTTCATTTCCTTAAGCCTTTGATCAAATATTTTCAAGACAAAACACTGAATAAATTATGAATCATACTTAGAAGTACCCTGAATATTTTTCTGCTTCCGGTCTGGTTGCTTTCCGTCGAAGAACTCCTTCTTGACATTTCCACTAGACTTCGGTCTTGCCATTTCCATTTTCACGCCTGGAAAGGTTGAAGTTTGAGCTCTTCAAAACAAATATTTCAAGGCGTTTTGCGGAAGTGAGTAATTGCTACTTTCCCTCACATTTTAGTATTTTTTGGCTCTGTTTGACAAGAAAATTTGGAAATTATTGTAAAGGATCAAACACTTTTCATAGTACTTGAGAACATCCAGGAAATAAACTTGCGGAATTGTCTATTTTCAAAGAAAAAGCTGCAAAGCACCATTCCCTTGTACAGTAATTTTGCTTTTCTTCCAATTTTCCATACTAACTTTATGTTTGATATTTTTTTTGCATATTTAATCTCTTATCTAGTATTTTTATCCTTTTACCGTTTACTGTAATACAAATCATAAAAAAACTTGAATTTTTCTATCTCACCGTAAAAAAACTTCATTTGATTCAACTGAAAAAAATAAGAAAAATCCTTTTTCAAATTCCAATTATTCAAAAATCGTACACAGAGAGTTCTACGCCAACGTAATTCCTAAAAACCATTTTTTTCTGAAAAATCTCTCTCTGTTCAACTGTTTTTCATAGTTCAGTACAATTTTCTGTAAAACTTGAGGAAAATTAGTGATTTGTCCTAATTTAATTCGTTATCCAAGCTTTTTTGTAAAAGTGAACCTGGAGTTAAAACGTCAAAAAAAGTGATCAAAACCTCTTTTTTTGGCGTCAAAAAGAATAGTACGACTTCTCCCTTCCTTCAAATTCAATCTTTTTTGAAGTTTTCCCTTTTTTAACCTAATTTTTATCGTAGGATTGACGTCTTCGTACAAGTTTTATCCGTTTAAACTTTTTATGGTTGGGAGAAAAAAATGCGATTTTTTTGGATTCAATTTGAACTTCAGGCTTTAAAAATATTTTTCATACTTGTGTTTGATTTTATGTTTGAAAACTCCCGAGCAGGTGACTCTCAATAGAATCAAAAAGTTAAAAAAATTATTTCGAAATAAAATTATTATTTGATGAAAAAAAGTAATCTCAGTCTAGGTCATTTCATAGTCATTTTTCTTAGAAAGTAGCGAAAAAGCCCATTTTTTTGAAAAATTTTCGAAACAAACTTATTCATTTTTAAAAATTTTTTTCATGTTAAATATTCCATTGGAAACCCATAAAAAAACGTGAAAAAAATTAAGGCAAAAAAAGCTGGCGCGATCTACGAGAAATCGGATTAAAAGCTCTCTGAGCAAATCCTTTCCATTTTTTTGCTTTTTTTTTCTCACTTTTATCGCCCCTTTCTTCCTAATATTTATCATAAAATGTGAAAGCTTAGGAAGATTTTTTTCAATCAAAAAAAGGGGAAGAAAAAAAGTCGAGAAATAATTCTTGATTTCTTTGTAAAAACTAGAAAAAAATTTTTTTCTGTCTTCAATTTTTCCCCATAAATTTTTTTGCTGCTTGTTTTTCTGTTCTGAAAGCAGCTTATCATCTGGATTATATACTTATAAACAGAGTTGAAATTTTACAAAGGACATAGATATGTGGAATTAAAGGCGCTTGGCTTTTTGCCCACATTCCTCGATTAATTTCCCACATCCGCCTAGCTTATTTTCGCTGTTTGCTCTTTTCTCTTCC